TCAAACTCTATAACTTAAAATCATAATGACATCCAGTGCAAACGAACAATATGAATTAATGCTGACTTTTTGAACTAAGTTGATTATTGCTTGTTTAATTTGTTCCCGCTCAGAACCACCATAAATTCCATCGATCCATTTATATCTTATTGCATTTTCTAAAAGTTGCAGCCCAAAATGTCTAACAACATCCGATTGTCCATTTTCTTTTAGGGCCAATAAATGCCCAAAGATTGGCGCGTTTGGATTATCTTTAATGGAATTACAATACTGCGTGATCATAATCAATCCTTCTTTTTAATGAATTGTTCACAAAGTTTGATTATATACAAAATTGAGTGTACGAATAATTAAACAAAACCTGATGCGCTTCGAGCCTAATTTCATTTGATGCGAACGGACTATGAATTATATCCAAAGCTTGTATGATCCTTGAAAGAACTAGTTAAAATATTCGATAATTTTAATTTAATTATTCTCGTGCCACATAAACCTAAAAAATTTTATATTTGTGTCAATGTTTTTTTAAGAAAAAGGCAATACCTTCAGGTTCCATGACGGAAAAAATCTGATCACCGATCAACTGGTCTGGTCCACAATTATAAAGCTAAAAATTGAGTCACATGATATTCATGTAAATTACAACTACGTATCCCTATCAGCTATAGTTTGTTTTTTAGTAAAACAATATTTCATAATAAAATCCCAAACTTCGGCTTTGCAGACAAATACGTACTGTATAAGTACAATGATGCAAACGGCCTATGAGCCGAACGACTAAGACGAGCACTTAATAGCTCGGTTATAAATCTAACAAAGCATCGGCTCTTAAAAACAGAGCCGATGTTAATAACAAAATCTACAATAGTAAGCTACCTGACACGAAAATGTGAGCAGTATTTTTCCTTGGATCATACACAATAGGACTGTTAGTGGAGTATTATACTCCAGAGTAAGCTAGGAATATATGTCAGTATAGTTTATATGTTACACCACAAAATTATTTATAAAATTGCTGCTAATACTACTCCGGATTAAAATATAAATAATTTATCGCTAATTGTTGTAAATTAAAAATAAAATTTATTAAGTTAAATTAGCATTGTAGCATTAAATAGATTGGATTTATTAATGTTTTAATAATATTCTATAGAATTGAATCCAGAGTAGCAATCTGGAGTATATAATCTGGAATAGTAGTGTGGGTTTTGATGTTTACTATGATAAGGTATGCTCCACACCACTCTGGATTACTCCATTATCATCAATCCTAGTGCACAGAATAGACTTGTTATAACGAGACAATTATGGTGTATTAAATGCGCTTGCGTAGTATTTTCGATTTGTAATTATTAGAACGACTGCTTTTTTTTTTTCTAAACGTAATTTTTGTTTTCCTCCTGTCCTCTGTCGGAACGAGTCACAAAATTTGGGTGCTGCCAAATTGAAACTTGAAACATAGGAATTTACTATGATCAATTACGTGACACTCATTTGGCAAAATATAGCAGACACAAGATAACGCAGGATAAGTTAATATAAAAAAACAGTTTTTTTTTACCAAAGATAATTTTATTCTGTTTTTCTTTTCGTCCTGCCCTTATCCAATCTTCAAGTATGGTCTGTTGAGATTGGAGATGCTGATGAAATTAATTTCACCAATTTAACACCAATTTCACCGGTAGTGGTGAAATTATTTCACCCCTGGTTTAGCATTTTTAGTTGAGACAACAATCATAATCCTGTCTAGACGACGACAGTCATGATATTTAGACAAACAGCCCTGCCGAGATGGCAATTCGCGCGAGATGAAAAAACTTTCGCACCTGCGATTTCACATGATTTTCGTGAAATGAATAAATTATTAGATTATCAAGGCCCCCGAATAATTATAACAGAGCCATTAGAATTAGTATAAATGTGCATTTCCACGAAAATAAGAGGTAGAAACCCCATAGCTTTGTTTCATCGTGTTATTATACAGGGAGATCAAAAGTGGTCAGATTGCATTATTTCGCGCAATTCTATTTTAATTTGTTCGTAAATTGGTATTTTTATTTAAGATTAAAATTTAAATGTTTTCTTATTGCAAAGATAATCACGCGTGTAACGCTAAACACGTGATGCATGACCCTTGTAAATTTCATCTTGAATCCACCAAGGACGAACAGGGGGAAACGTCAAAAGTTACACAAACCAACATGTGATCGACAGTCCGCATATTTAATGTCGATCAAATAAT